GATACCAAAAGTCAGGTAGCGGAATTTGTATGGTATTTTGGGATTGTAAAAAATCATGAGACTGCGTTAACTCGTCGTGATAGGCTCATCACACGCATGGAACTATACTTGTTTGTGGATATGACGCATATGAGAATATCTGTATAATGGATATTATTGGTTTTTTGTTATTTGTGATAAGAAAAAAAAAATCATCTCGTGAGAGGACCGTCTTATATTTAATTGGCCATTACGAATCTGTATGGTCGAGTTATGAAGAGATATTTTTTTTGTCTTTTAAGCATATTCATATTTGTATCATTATCGTTTCATGGATTAACTAGGGATCTTTTGCTTTTTGTTAGGCATCTGCTTTTTTATCCAGCATCCCTTTCTCTTTGGACCATACGGAGGTGCCCTTGTTAGTTATAGTTTGCTGTGTGATATGGGATAACTAGATTACCCATAGTAAATACAGATATTTGTATTGACTCGATACACTTTGATAATGCTTGTAGAAATTTTTTTTTTGAAAAATTTGAAAATCGCTGAATCATCATATCTTACCCAATAGCCAGAAAGCTTTGTTCGGAATCGAAGGTTGGTACGAGGGGGAAAGAAAAATATGAAATACCGAAATATCCATTAGAAAATCGTATGGGAGTGATTCGAAAATCTCCCAAAAGCTGAAAGTAACGTTACGAATCAATTTGTACAGTATTTCGTAAAATGCCAAAACACGATTCCAAAAAACGTACGAGATCCCTTATATCTATAATCTTGCCGTAAGGCATTGTGTCCCTGGAGAGGAGTGACTCAAAAGAGAAATCGACACGTTTCGTCGACCAATATAAAAATTCTTCGAACCGCATAGACCTGGTCCTTGCAAAATTTTGAAATGTCATGTGGCAACCATTAGAAATATACGTTCGAGAACTTTGAGTTCCAAAAGACTGGAAACACGTGTTTGCCAGAAATTCAGAATAAATGAATTTCTGTATTGAAAATCATCGCAGCATGCATTCGATAAAAAAAAAACGTGAAAAAAATGTATTACACACAAAATATGAAAACTAATTTTTTTTAAACAAGTTTTGTTTCAAACAAAATTGTATAATCTTCATTGTAATCGGACAAGAATATATTGCAGATATAAATTCACGTTGCCAATTTTTCTGTACTTAGGCTGTGTTATCTAGTGGAATAGAATAGCAAAGTGCACATGCGACATGCAGACAAGACAAGGAATACTTTGATAGATTCATTTGTTTGTGTAACGTCGGCTTAAAGAAAGCCTGTTGCGGATGCTTAAGCTCTTACAAAATGGTAGGTTGTGTGAGGTTTCTATGCGAGCGATAAATTAAGCGGAGGGCTGTACCCTATACGCTTCTTGCATACGCGAGTTAGCGAGTCAGGTTGCTGGGACTAGAAAAACACGTTCAGGAATGCTGCCGGAGACCCGGTGGCTCCGTATCTCTTACGAGGACGTAGTCAGGACTCGCGATAATTTCACGTATTATCGCGAATAAATTCGCAATATTTCAGTGATAACGTCCCGTGGATAATCTCCAACGATATCTCATAGCTACCGCCTTAAGGAAAGGAAATGAATTCCAGAGACTGAGAAATTCGACATTCCAGTCTCAGATTGGCTCGTTCCTACGTTGCTCTAGGAATGCGAAAGATTCGAGAAAATTTTCGAAATTGAAAATTCTCGTTATACGACAGTCTAACACGAGATACAAAAATGTGAAAAAATCATTTCCAAGTACCACGTTAAATTTCATGACAGTTAAATTTTTTCATATGAATGATATCGTATGACGATCATTACGAGAACGCATTGCGTACAAAGTAAGAGGCTGAAAGCCATGCTCCGGTTTTAATAAAGATAAATCGCTTGAAGTAATTACACATTTATATGTAATAAATTTCAAAGTCATTTGCATGAATCGCGTGCAAATGTAGACATTATAGATTGGCATACGAATAATGATTTGTTTGATCTCGTATCAAACTATGTGAATCAAGAAAAAATATGATTAATTCGGATATTAATTATATGTATAAAAAATTTCAAAATTCATATATACATATATAATTAATACGATTTAAAGATAATATCGAACTATGTGAAAAATTCAGGCACTCGTTTCATATGTATATATAACCAAATGAATTCCGCAGATTATCATTCCGCTATAATACGAACTTATTACGCAGCCTCCATGCAATGGTATCTGTGGCAGTTAGTGCGTCAAATGTGGCTTTGTTGGTTGATTAATGCCCTCTCCGGGGCTGACACCTCGCCGAGTTTAATTGCACCTTATTCTGCATGAATATGGATGCCTGCCTCGCGGGCGAGTGCATCTGCAGCCGTGTAGCAGCGAGGAGGGAGAAGAAGCGTGGTATAAAAAATGCAATTATAATTTTGAAAAATGGTCCAGCCCCTTGGAGTGTTTTATTCTCGAATAGTTAAAACCGTGTTAGAATTCGATATCAGTTTAAAAAAAAAGAAAATTAACGTGCAAAGATATAACCCCACTAAAGGCTCCCCCACCCTTGCCCCATTGCCCCAGTCACTCCACCCCTAACAAGAAAATCTAACTATTCATCCAGCATCAATAATCAAAATCTTTCTCATGTAAAATATGTTCCCAAGAATCCCATTAAACCCTTCAATCTGATCTACACAGTAAAAGTCATTATCCGAAGAATTAAAAAAAAGTTCCAAGAAATATTCATCGAAAATGAAAAAAAAAATTACAAATAAATGATCCTAATATACCTATATTTTAATGTGATATGAATTAAAAATTTGTCTCCGTCATTTCATCATTCAATAGTTCACCTGAAAATCCTCAATACGGAGTAATAGTAGTTCACACGCTATATGCATACGTGTGTACAAGGAAGCTGCAGTGGGTAGAAGCAAAGAGGAGCGAAAGCAGCTCTCGATGATCTGGAAATCGTAAATCTCTCGAAGCAGCCTTTATAACACGGTGAGTGTGCACATCTCTGGTGCCGATGGAGAGAAGATTTCGAATCTTTCTTTAACAATCTTATCGGAGATCGCAGCTACGGTAGCCGATGGGATCCGTAGCTTCCGTGCACCCTATTGTTTCAACGAGGGATGAACACTTACGCGCCCCTAATGAAGCGGCGGCTATCAAAGACGTTAAAACTAACTGAGGATGACGTAGGAAAATCGATCTCGAGAATAAATCGTTCTTTAATCGTAATACACTTTAGCAGGTTGATTTTCTCATTTAAAGCAATAATAATCAAATTGATCTAAATAAAGAGATACACTGTACGATTAATCAAAAAATTTCATATGATAAGTTCAACCGTTAATTGAAGTCGATACCGATCTTTTGATCACTTACTGTATATATTGGATTTTTTTAAATTCCATAACGTAGAATGGCAAGCAGATCTTTCGATGCAAAAATATATTCGTCTACCCTTTAGCATCCATTAGTGCTATTCGATCTTAAAGAGTAATTATATCGCAAGGGTAGTCAGTTCTATAAACAACCGAAACCACTTAGCACCTAAGCCAATGTCGGCTTCTACCCACCAATCTATACCCAATCTTCTAGTCAATGGAAACCATAAAAATCTGCACTTCGTATCCCATCGATAAAGCCCTAATTACACGACGCGCCAATCCATAAAGCCCTCTAATAACAGCCTTACCTGTTGGAATCGGTTAGATATCAGGGCTCTTGCTCGATACCTTTATATAGTAGTGGCTCATGGGACAGGAGCGTGTTGCGAAATTTTCCCACGCCTTACAGGGGATGCCTGTATATATACATACGTTCCGTGACTTTAGACTCTTTTTTTACTGTAAATTACTACCGAGTTTCGATTAGTACATCGTTCTCACGATACGCCTTTAATTTACAGTGTCATTCCAGAACTGCGTTCAGCACGATCAACGGGAGTTACCCGGTAGATAATTCTCTTGGAAGTACAAAAATTTAATATGGTTTAATAGTCATGCAGCTTCCCTGTAATATCTCTGATTTAATACCCTCAACCTTTTATGCCGATACAATTGAAAATTATAGAAATTAAATGGCACGGATCGATAAATCAATAATCGATATCCAATCAAATATATCTATAGGGATATACCCGTTGCAGTAAGAACACGTGAGAAAATTTAATGTCATAGATCAATTTTACGTTAATTTGAAATCTCACGGAATTCCTGAATATTATTAATAACAAGCCGGAAGTTAATATAGAAATGTAAGGATCGTCTTATCCTAAGATAATTTTCAGCCGGTATCGCAGCTTCCCTCGTAGATCAGCTGAGTATGTATAGGCTGGCTGGATGTACAGTTTTTATCGTGGCGCCTTTGCAAAACGGCATTAAACATGCAAGCGTCTTCACGCACGCTTAATTTTCAATTAATTTCGCCGGGTGCAACGGGAGGGTGAATGGCTGCTAAGAGGAACGAGAAGGAAGGGATGAAAAAAAAAATATGCGAACAAGGCGCGACTAACGTCGTGCATGCGTGTCGTGATTTATCGCGAAGCAGTCGCACGCACACGTGCGTACGGATGCGTAGCTTTGGCATTAGCATTTATGTTTCACAAATACGATGACTTTACGAGTGTTTAAATCAAGCCGCAGGGGACGCAGTGGTCTAAAACAAAACCGTGAGAAATAGAGAATAAAAAAAGAGACAAAAAAAGTAAAAGAAGGTCTAATAGATGTATCGTAAAGAAAAATGAAAAAAAAAATAGTCATCATCCACGATAATTTATCGGTTGTACTTCACTCTGTATACTCGAAATGACTACAGTCTTGAGTTTATTGCGCGTTAACGTTAGGTTGAGTTTTTGATTGGACGAACCGAAAATAGCGGAAATGACTATCAAACGATTCGTATCAAAGACAAATTGACTGTTTGACGATTATTAAAAAAAAAAAGACAAGAAAAATTTATCCAATCGATAACTTTTACTATCTTGACACGTTATTTCGAGTTTTTAACCTAAGTTATTTTTTTTATCAAAGAATTATGGAATTGCTCGTTTATCGCCATAAGGGACTTGTACCTCGGATGCAAGTGTAAAGAAACATTGACCCTCGTGGAATTTGTATAGAATTCCCATTAAATGGTGGACATTAGCCGAGAATGCTTCGTTGCCCATTCGTAGATGGGCCGATAATGGTAGAGAATCTTTATGGTTATTTCATTATGTTTAAATCGTTTTTCCCTATTTTACAGGAGGCAAAGACTAAATGGGAGGTCGAATCTTCTTGTGCACTATACGATCGATCGATACGAGATAAGAGATCGCGATCTTGGTCTTCGATATCGACACTGCACGAAATCGGTAATATATAGTTCAGCGAAGGACTTAATAAACCATCGATAACCCTGTATGCGAGAGAAGATACACTTACAATTTTTCATACGATTTGGTTCAGTGAATCTCAAAAAATATTGTATCTTGACATAAGGTCTTTTGGATTTTTATAAGATCGTTTATTTCGATCATTTCTTCTTGGAGGAAACTCGACGAAGCGAATCGCCAAAAGATCGTATCTGAGTCGGTAACGTGTTATTGGATTTACCCTCGGTGCACAATGTACAGATACTGCCCGATAAACTTTCGAAACTGATGATAGTAATACTCGTGTATAGCACAATGCCGAATCATGCTAACGGGAAGTAATGGTCAGTTGATCTGATTTCTTTTGCAGATGTTTGATAGCCGATTCGCCCTAAGGGAATCGGTATGCTTGATAAGAAAAAAAAAATGAGAAATTGCACGGGTCGATATACGAGTAACGAGATAAAAAAATAAACGACATAATTCGATCCGTTCGAAAAGCACGAGTAAAAGGAACAGCAGAGAAGCGGATGGCGGGAATTTTTAAATTGGATTAATACAAAATTATATGCTGGGGATGATATTTCGTATTTGGAATTATGGAAATCATACCAACTTGTACGTTTATGCGGCAAGGAATTTTTTTTCTTTGAATTTCAACTTTTTTTATTATGTTATATGCAGTCGTAATTTAAGATAAAATTAAATTAGCTACACGTTAAATATTTATATACCTGTAGTAGGTACATGTACGAGGGCTGAACCGAGTCGAATCTGAAATTCGATAATGCCTCACTCAGCAGGGACGCGCAATTCGCCCGGAAGCTGCGAATTATGCCGCGAGTTCAGATTAAAGAACTTTGGATTACATATAACCGTGTATTACGATCAAAGACCTATGCGCAGGTGGTGCAGTCTCTTTAGCCCGGTATATTTCTCTTGGATACAAATCGCCAAGCATGGAGCTCTCATTGATTATTATATGTGGAATTGATACGGGGGATGAAATCTTAAGAGGAAAAGTCCAAATGATAATTTTACAATGACAACCACGTTACGTATTATTTAAAAAAAACTATATAGATTTATAAAAAAAATGTTTGACACGTCATCAATTTCACATATACAATTTCATGTTATTTTTGTTTAAAATAAAAAAAAGTTTTTATTCATCAAAATTAATTTTGATACGTATCATTTGCTGTCGGATTAAAGGAATGTTACCTACGGTAGATCCTCACTGCGAATTCTGTTCCACAAGTATTTTTACGTGTTTCTAATAAATTCGTGAGCTCACGAAAAAAAAAATCGGGTCCTATACCCAATGGTATATCCGTTTGGGTATCGTAATTCAGGGACGGTGGCTTTGGGTGCTTTCGAAATGTCGTAGGGCGACGAAAAGATTTCCAACACGACATCGCACTCACCTGCCCCGCTTCTTATCTGCAGAACGAGTATTCCGCAACGGCGGTTTGTCTTGCGCAAAAGCCCAGAGAGAGGCCGGTCGTTTCCTTTGGTCTCAATGAAGTATCGCGATTATTTCCAGGTCCGAAAGAAACAATTTCGTCCTCGATTCTCGAACGATGTAAGCAAGCAAGTAAATAAGCCAGCGAGTAAGTACGTAAGTAAGTAAACGGCGTCGGTTCGAACGGGGCCAAGCGTCCCGATAAGAGCAACGGGTAAATAATTTCTGAGCAAGACCGAAGTCCCTCGTTGGGGATATACGTGTAGGAAGGTATTAAAGGTATATTCATATGAAAAATCGTGAAATCACTTTGACGATCGCCGACACGAACGAGCGCGTGCGAAATCTTAAAATTTAATTATGGGTACGGCCTATCGTGATATTTTTCGATAAAGCGATGGCTGCCATTATAACGGGATGATAAGCTTCCGTAATTGCGCGTATAAAAATATATAATTTTTCGCTTTTGAAAAAATCATTTTTTTCGCTCGTTTTTAAAAAAATGTTTTTAAAAAAATTTATTTTAGGACTTTTATAATTCGATTCTTAATTTTTCGAATAAATTGTACGATTTTTTCAAATGCAAAATTTTTGCAACTTCAAATGTGTTTCATGAATTTGTTTATCCAGTTAATGAAATATGGAGAACTCTAAAAGATTCTCTGGAATTCTCACGCATTAATGCGACGCAGAAAGCACACATGGTATCCAGTATGTTATCTGCGTACCGTTGAATTCCACGGAGGAGATCTGTCCAGACGCATAATTAATTTCACCTGAAATTGATAAAACTGCTTGCACCTATGTAATATGCACGATATATACTTTATCTTAGTAGAACTGTATGGTATTGGGTAGTGAGTTTACCGGAATAAAATTATCCGAATCATTTTGTTAATTATTAATTACTGTTATCAATTACAAGTATCTGTATCACCAGTAAAACCTGCTTTTACGCATTGTATTGTATAAGTGCTAATTGAAAAATGTTTTTCCTCGCGATAATTAATTACAGACTATTAAGTAAAATTTTCCAAAACACTTCTGTATTTATTTCGTAGTATACAAATTTTCTTTTTAACACAAAATTGCATGAAAATCGAATCAAGTTCTGAGACTCCTTCGAGTTGCCAAGATAAACCAATAAAGTAGCACGATAGCACGAAGGCAGGTGCAACGTGGGCGGTGAGTTACAGCAGGGGTCAGAGGTCATCCCGAAGCCGGGATCTTTCGTAATCCTTCCTATTCGCCTTCTTCTTTTTCAAAGACCCTTGACAACGGCATCCTCAGAAAAAGCGTGGTTGGCTACGCGTAGATGCACGAGATACTCAAACGCAGGACTGAGGACCATAACGGCATGGTCTTTTAAACAGTCAATTTTCCAAGAAGCAAACGTGCATATAAGTACCAAGAATGCATAGTAAAGTAACACGTAAAGAAGAATGGAAAAAGTCTAAGGTTATAAAATAAATAGATGAGTCACGATCCAAAATCCGTTCCACCGAGAAGGGCCAACTTTTTATGATTAACAATATAAAAGAGTCCCTCAACTCATAAACTAACTTTGTACGATGACTGTACAAATTTTCTGTAAAAGTTTATCAATACTCTTGAACTTTATTGTACTTCTAAGGTTTCACCAATTCTTGAATGATTAAATGATTCTGTTATATATGTGTCACTAAAAACTTGTTTAGACGCATAGAAAGATTTGTCCCTTACAGAAGTTACTGTGATGTATTACGTATATAAAGTAACAGCTTAAAAAGTAAAAACTTTGGCAGCTAAGTTCTGACAGATTCGAATGAGGCCCAACAGTCACAGTCCGAGGTGGTTTTAAATTCCGAAACCGTGCACCATTTAAAATGGCAAATTGTGCGAGGATAGACGAAAAACAGCGGCGTCCTGTGAAATTCAATGAGATGGAACGCGTCAAACATCAATAATCTTCGGTAGCCGATTCGAACTCGTAGTCGGGCAACAAAAGGCATCGACTTGGGACACACCTCTACACGTATGGGACCCTCCTTTAGGCCCTTTGCCACTCTATCGTTAAACGTATAAATACGAGACGGCTGTCCTCTGCTATCTAAACGGCTATCGAGGAATTTATAATCGAATTTGTTCCGCCAGTGAATATCTGATATCGGGATCGTTTGTGAACCGGGTAAACTGACGCCATATTGGAATTTCAGTTTGACGACTTTACGTAGAAAGCCGATAACGATCTTCCCTCGTACGACTATCAATTTACTCTTGATGAGATGATTGTTGAATCGTGTAAAAATGTATAAAAAAAAGTAAAATAAAAAAAATTTTACTTAATAAAAAATAAAGAGGAAATAATTAAAATCACGTATCCTCTTTAGGTGCCGTTAACGTGAAGATAATCTTTCGTGTCAAAAGCGCAGCTCATTAGGCGAACAAAACTGCAGGATACTTAAGTCCCGTTCAGAATTGGCCTAATGAATTTAAAATGGCCATCCATGATGTTTTTCCCTCGTTACAGACAGTAAGATACGCGACGCTCTTCTTTTCGCATCTCCGGCGGGCAACACTCAGCGGCAATTTACAACGAGCGACCAGGCATGTTTTCGTCGCGGTATGAACAAAAATGCAAATAGTCCTTTAACTCGGCCGCCTCTTTATAACGCGTTGTGGAGGATTCGCGTCAAGTTTTTGTTGCAGCATCCAACTGTCTTCTGCGAAAAGCTGCAGCATAGCGATATTACATATATACGTAGTCATACGATAGCGGTATTAGTACACGAAGCCTCAACCAGTTTCCCTTAAAAGTACAAATTTCTGTTAATTAATTTTTTTTTCAACTATCCATCATCGGAATTTTCGTACAAATTGAATTCACCAGAATAACGATTTTATTCATTAGGTTAATTCTTAAGTGGAGTTCAGCATTAGAAACGATTAGTAATTAGTGCCTGTGATTATCCAGAATTGGTATAGCGAATGCAATTCATTAAACAGGCTAATGAATAGGTGCGAAGGAAAAAAATTATTTTTTTGATAAACTACCTTTTAATTTGATTCGCTGTTAAAAATAAAAAAAATATTCCTTTTTCTACCATAAATCAGATACCAGATCGTCGGCATTACTCGCGCGCCCCATTTGAATTCAATAAGATTTTCCATCGATCTCCTCGCGGCAGTAGTAGCTCCAATTATCGCAATCGAACGGCAGATGCAAAGTTATCCGAGCATCTAGGAATCTTGGTCTACGTTCATCCCTTTAGGCACGGTAACTATCATTAATGTTCATTTAATCCAAGATCAGTCGAGTCCACTTCAATGACTTCGGATGCTCTCCAGCTACGGACTTCGTATATATCGTCACGCTCGATTTATATCTTCGAGATTTCTATCGATACGATATTTACTTCTACCCGTCCGCGATGCGTAAGGGACCGACTTAATTGTCCATAGAAACGCGGCCTGAGTACCAAGTCAACGAGTTAGGGCATACTGAACTAATATTTAGATAAAGTTTTATATATCATTAAGGATCATCCCCTCGGGTAAAATGACGATTAAATCATCAGCTGTCACCCAACGATTAATCTTACAACCCCTTTTCTTGACTCTAAAACTCTATTGAACGGAATCGACATCCGTACACGTCCCGTATAAGAATTACTACACGATTATAGATTACTACCCTTCCCAGCCCTTATAATTACACCCTTTCTGTAATTACAATAATGTCTACCCGTTGCACTTGCTGTCCACGTGTCGAACCCAAAACCAAAGGTTATCATCAAGGTAGTCATTATTCATCCCACAGCTCGCTGAGTATTTTATAATCGCTCCAATCTGTACCAACCAAAATTCTTAATATTAATCGTAACTATAAAATTTTCTCTACCGACACAATTTTTTCATCCCCCCAACCTAACCTTACTCTCACAATTTTCTTTCCCGGATCTTACCATTTTTTGTCTTATTTTATTAATTCTTTTTTTTTATAATTCTTACACCAACGCGCCAGAATAATTGCACTTCTCCACCTGGATAAAGACCACTTCGGCCAAGCCCAGGCTTCCTAATAGCCTCGTAATTGTACTAAGAAGCGCAGCGACGTCCGCGGTGCCTCCGCCTCACCAGAATGCCAGGAGTGATGTTTTAAGATGGAACCTTGTAAAAAGGTAAAGAGTCTTGCTTTACCTGGAAGTACGAACTTCGCGGGACCTTACACCGTCGTTCTCGCGGCACTTCTTTTTTTAATCATCTTCACGTTGGTACACCTGGAGCCGTATACAGAAGTGGCTATATCGACCCCAGCACAGAGAGCTGTACAGTGAAGTTACAAATTCCCCGGTATACGTATACCCTAGCGAAGTGGTATTATACCGAAACCCTTTATGAAGATGCCAAGTCCTTCAGAGACTTAAGAATTATGACTGTTAATTACTTGGTTGCCAAGAGGTTACGACTATAGACCCTTTCTTTATTAGTGATACTTACATTCCGTTGGCATACATGGACCACGACAAATTTTTGACGACTACTAG